TGATAATCTACTATCCCTCCCCCCAGTGCATTCTACTCTATCTTTTAAAGAAGGCCACATCTACTTTAAGTCAAACACTGTGCTACGTACTTCAATATACCTTTAAATTTCATTGTAAAAAAAAACAAAAAAAAAAAAACACACACACACACAAAAAAAAACACTGGTAGAGGTATTATAATCCCCCATTCTACAGAGAACAAAAAACATCAAGCAACTTCACTTCCATACATTGCATAGGGGAAAGATCTTGGATACCAACTGAGATCTTTGACTCCATAGCCTATGATCTTTCAGTATACCATGCTGCCTTTCAATGAAAAAAGGAACAAAAGACTGCACAATGGACATTCCATGTATGTTCCTTCTATTTCATTCATCCATCCAGAAAAATCTAATGTATGCTGAGGATCCTTCCACACTGCCAGAATCTCCAGAATATTAAAGAAAGCTTTTTTTGCATTTGCATTCCCAAACTTGATATTCACAAGCTTGGCATTCCCAACACATTATAAGAAATTTTAATTCTACTATATGTTTTTCTGCTGCTCCTGGGTACCTTTGTTTTGCAAGGGAACAGTTAATACAGCTGACACTGTCATGTATGTTTGGACAGCTGACCAGAAAAGAGCCAAGGATGGCACAGGTTGTCTCTTCTTTTCAGCATTAACAATTAAGGTGTAAATATGGGGACATGTAATTGGAGAATATGGGCAGGAAATGTGAGTCTAAGAAGGATGAGAGACACTTAGTCAGTTGTAAAAATGCAAAGGTATTTCAAAAAAGGAACTAGGAGAGTTTGATTCAAGCAGGATTTAGCAATCCCTTTATCCATAAAGATTCACAGAACAACACTGTCCAGTGCACTGAGGAGAGGGTAGCTAGCACCCTTGTGCAGACACAAGGTGCAGGAGAGAAGGGAAAGTAAAGGAGGAGAATGCAATGGAAAGAGAAACAATAACAAAAAAATACTGAGTAGTCAGATGGTGTGGTTCAGTGGTTGAGCTTCGACCCATGAACCAGGAGATCATGGTTTGATTCCCGATCAGTGCACATGCCCGGGTTGCAGGCTCGTTCCCCAGTAGGGGGCATGCAGGAGGCAGCCAATCAATGATTCTCTCTCATCATTGATGTTTCTTTCTCTCCCTCTCCCTTCTTCTCTCTGAAATCAACAAAAACATGTTTAAAAATCAAGTAAAAAAAGAGAAAGAGATACTTAATGATCCTGTGATAAACACAATTGAAGGCCATCAATTTGGGACAGAAGTATCCACACAAAAAATTGCCCATTTGTGAACTAGGTCCTTGGGGATGCTGATTAGTGCAGAAAACCGTCAAATGACTATGTGTAAATCATGTCTCTAATTTTTTACTTTGTCATTTTACATTAATCAAAGTAGAATCATATCAACTCATTCTATGAGGCCAATATTATCCTCATTCCAAAGTCCAACAAACACATCATGAGAAATCTCCAGACCAATATTCCTAATGTATATAGATGCAAAAATCCTCAACAAAATACTGGAAAACTAAATCCAGCAAAGTATGAAATGGGCTACACAGCATGACCAACTGTAATTCGTCCCAGATATGCAAGGTTGGTTTAACATATGAAAATCAGTCAATAAAATTCATATGATCATCTCAGTAGGTGAAAAGAAAGCATTTGACAAAATCCATTACACTTTCATTATGAATACTCTTAATACAGTAGGAATAGATAGAAGGGAACATTCTCAATGTAATGAAAACCATCTATGAAAAAAAAAAACACATAGCTAACATCAACACTTAATGGTGAAAAACTGGGGTCTTTACCCCTAAGATCAGGGATAAGACAAGAATGTTTTCTCTCACAAATTCTATTCAGTATTGCCCTGGAGGTTCTAGCCATGGAAACTAGACAAGGAAAATAAACAAAAGACACCCATATTGGAAAGGAAGAAGTAAAACTACATATATTCTCAGATAACATGATCTTGTATATACAAAATCCTAAGGACTCCACTAAAAATCATTAGAATTAATAAATGAGTATAGCTAGTTTGCAAGATGCAAGGTCAATATAGAAAAACCACTTGTATTTCTATATGCTAACAATGAACCATCCAAAATAAAATTAAGAAAACAATTCCATTTATAATATCTTCAAAAACAATAAAAATACTTAGTAATATATTTCAGAAAGCCACCAAAACTTGTATACTGAAAACTACAAAATATCATCGAAATAAATTAAAGATGACCTAACTCAATGGAACATTATCTCATGTTCATGGACTGGAAAACTTAATATTGCTAAAGTAGAAATACTCTCCAAACTAATCATTGGTTCAACACAATCTCTATCAAAATCTCAAATGCTTTTGTATAGAAATTGACAACCTGAACCTCAAATTCACATGAAAATGCAAGAGTAGCCAAAACAGTCTTCGTGACCTCGGATTTGGCAATATACACTTAAATATGACACTAAAAGCACACACAACAAAAGAAAAATAAATAAAATTGGTTCTCATCAAAATTAAATAATTTTGTACTTCAAATGATATAATCAAAGAAGTGAATATACAAACCACAGACTGGAAAAAAAAAAAAATGCTTGCAAAGTATATACCTGAAAAGGGTCTAGTATCCAGAATACATAAAGAACTCTTTCCAGCTCAACAAAACAAGGCAAATCACCCAGTTAAAAGAGGCAAAGATGCCCCGGCTGGCATTGGTCAGGGGTTAGAGCATCAGCCTGCGCACCAGAGGGTTGAGGGTTCAATTTCTCATCAAGGGCATGCACCTGGGTTGCAGGTTTGATCCCTGGCCCTGGTCGGGGTGCGTACAGGAGGCAACCAATTGATGTTTCTCTCTCAGATTGATGTTTCTCTCTCTCTACTCTCTCCCCTGCCCCCTCCCTTCTACCCTCCCTAAAAAATATCAATGGAAAAAATGTTGTCCAATGAGGATAAAAAAATAAAATTAAAATAGGCAAAGAATTTGAATAGACTTTTCTCTAAAGAAGATATAGAAATGGCCAATAAATAAATTAAAAGATGTTCAACATCATCCATAATCAGGAAAATGCAAATTAAAATCACAATTAGCTATCACTTCACGTTCATTAGGATATCTATAATTTAAAAAATGGAAAATGAGAATTGGTGCAGATTTTTGAGAAATTGGAACACTTGTATATTGCTGGTGGATATATAAAATGATGCAGTCACTTTGGAAAATAGCTTGGCAATTCCTCAAAGTCTTAAACATAGAGCCACCATTTGACCCAGCAACTCTACACCTAGATACATACACAAGATAAATGAAACTATATATGTCCCTGGCCAGGTAGCTCAGTTGGTTAGAGCGTTATCCTGATATACCAAGGACGTGGGTTGGATCCCCAGTCAGGGCACATACAAGAATCAACCAATGAATGCATAAACAAGTGGAACAACAAATCGATGTTTTTTTCTCTCTCTCCTTTCCTCTCTAAAATAAAATTTTTAAAGCTATATACGCATACAAAAACATGTACACAAATATTCAAAGCAGTATTATTCACAACAGCACGAAAGTGGAAAAACCCAAGTATCTGCCTATTGGTGAGTAAGCAAATCAAATGTATCCTATCCATACAATGAAATATTATTCAGCCATGAAAAGCAGAAGTACAGATACATGTTACAATGCAGACGAACTTTGAAAACACTGTGCCAAGTAAAAGAAGCCAAACACAAAAAGCCACATATTATATGATTCCATTTATATGAAATGTCCAGAATAAGCAAATCTTTATAGACAGTGCTTGCTGGGGGCTGGGCACAGGGGGAAATCGATAGTGATTGCTAATGGGTAAGGGATTTCTTCCTGGGTTATGAAAATATTCTGAAAGTATATAGTGGTGATGATTGCACAACCTTATGGATATACTGAAAACCATTAATTGTACACTTTATAAGGGAAAATTTTATGGTATGTAAATTATATATCAATAATGCTTTTAAAAGCAGAATTACAGGTCTAACAACCAAATAGAAGAAATGTGCTAAATCTTTATCTTTCTCTACCCCAGCTAGCAGGACCAGTAGCTTGCTTCCCTTTTCTTGCTTCACACTTGTTGTATCTTCTTTACAGCCCTTTCCTTATGTTTGTACAGTGAACAACTCTTCCTCCAAAAGTTAGTCACATGAAACAAAAGATAGTGTGAGGCAACAGAGAGAAATAGAAGTAATGGGGCATAAGCTAAAGGAGATGGGTGGCCTCATTGTTCCAAAGTTCTCTCCTACAATTGAGGATACTCAAGGAAATTTATACATTTCCCCTCTTACTCTTTTCCATCATGGTAGGATGGGAAAATATTTTGAAGTCTTCAAATTAGAGCCCAATCTACTCCCAACTCACAATAGTGAATTTAAGCCATTCTCAAGGAGAATCGGCAATCATAGAAGAGTCAAGAGCTACTTCTGTCACTCCTAATATTTAACAGTTCTTGCCATTAACATGCCAGTAACAATGTAACAATGCCCATAACATGCCAATAACAATTCCCAATATTTGACCTAGGTTTTTAACGCATGATGTAAACCAAATTACCCTTTGTTATATCCTCAGTGGAGAGTTTGAAGAGATACTGTTGATTTGTATTTGAAAAACAGTACCTAGAAGGAAATACTAATAGGAACAAGGATTTTTTCAGAGGATGACAGATCATCAGTCTCCAAGCATTTGAAAACCCTCTGTAGATAGGGTTGCCCCAAACTGGTCACAGGACTCTTGGTAAAAGTACAGAAAGGGTGTGTAGAAACATAGTCAAGGAAGTGGAATCTATGTCCACCTCTTGTGAGTTAGCAAGGCCAGATGAGTCCGGTGAAGCCACCACTTCTCACAACCTAAAACAGTGATAGAGGCTCAGGCAAGCACCACTAGCAAGCAGAGGCCTATTCAAGAGGTAAAGCACTTTGAAAAACAGATGAACCACCACTGCCATCCTGCTCAGGCCACCTTACCTAACTGAAATTGATTGGAGACATTCCCACATGTTTGCATTATCTCCGGGCTATTCCATCCTAAGGGGTATAATGCACAGCCTGAGCTTATCAGCAGCCCTGGAAAGAAAAACATACACACAGGTAGAAAAAATATCATAGGTTTCCTGTCACCCCAACATTCCCTCTGGATTAGCGCAGCTCAAATTCTGCCTCTTCTACTCAGAGTTTACCTCTCCCTTTTTATCCTAAATGTCTATAATACTACCAACTCAACAGGATATCTTTGCCATGCCATAGGTGGTAAGTTGTAGTAGGTAGTAGAGAGGATAACTTGTGAAGGGCAGTATTGGGAATTGAGACAGGCCAATGTAATTTTTGTAGTCAAAATGTTTTCAACAATGACTTACAAAGCTAAGTTGGACTCTCCAACTAGACTCCTCTACTATCTTGGTCTGATTTACAAGGAATCACAATGTAGAGACTACTACTGTTTTCTGAAAATTCAGCATTTTTGAAGAGTCAAGTAGGTCCCTAGTAGTTGAAGGTAGGTCATGAGCTCTGTAACAGAATCAGCTGCCATACTGAGATCTACAGAAAGCATACATGTGGCACAGGCTTCTCCTGGTGAGCAGGGCACCACACTTCCTCTTCCAGAAACACTTCCTTCTTCTAAAATCATTCCAAATTCATGCTAAACACATCTTTTTTCTTAACTTCCCATACCTTCCACTGTGCCCCTTGCCTTCATCTCCATTTTGTTTAGATCATTTAGTCACTACAGGGAAACTTTGTGGGATCTTAGTGATAACTTTACTATTCCAACCAGAAATACAAATCTGGTGCTTGCCAGCACTACCTTCTAAGGGCAACTGCAAAATCCACAGCTCTTGCTGCTGCCTAGGTTTACATTTTATAACCTCTGACCTCCCTACATCATGCCTTTGGTGACGGTGAATTGGGCCTAGCGTTAGCATCTGATACAAAACAACAAAATTTATTGGCTGGACAGTAATGGATGACATGATAACCTGGCAAGAAGATATGATCTATGCCACTCTCTTGTTTCTGAAAGTTTTAATCAAGAAACATAGAAATACTGAGTTAGTTAGCAGATACAGAAGGAGTTGAGAGAAAAAAAACACCAGGAGATAGAATCAAGTCTGTGTCAAGTTGAAGCCAAGTTCAATCTAAAGTTATGAGCACACATAACTTCTGGGTAAGCTGAGAAAACTCATTGATAAAGGGAGAGAATACAGTAGTATGAAGCAGATATATTATGAAGGAAAACTCCATACTGCCCATTAAAGAGCTAGAAAGACCACAGTGCTTCCCAATGGCTTTTGAGTTCAGATTTTCTTATGTTATAATAAATTTCCTTTTCACTGAGAGATCTCAAGTGAGTCTCCTACTTGTACCCAAGAGAGCATAATTACAAGAACACAATACTTGAGTGCTACACCAAAGGGCATGGGGTGGCCACCTGCCACAAATGTGAATGCAGAAACTAACATTTAACACAGAACCTCTAGAGAGCAGATGTTTGGTCAGTGATGAATGAATTGCATATTTATAGGTTCTGGAGCTTTGGGGCTCAGCTGGACAGTGAAGGAAAGGCTGCTTCAGGGATTGCTGGCCTCACCTCTACTAATCTTTCTTCAATGAGGAAAATTCCATATATACTCTGAGAAGCTAATAAGCCCATTTTCCTTTCAGATGAAGCCTTTTGGAAGAAAATCTCAAGTACTCTCTAAGTTTGTCTGCAACATGGCTACCAGGTTTTTGTACTCAATGAGTCCAGAGAAAAAGACAAGGACTTTAAGAAATAGCAAGAAGCCCGGCCGGGCGTGGCTCAGCAGTTGAGCATCAACCTGGGATCCAGGCGATCAGAGTTTGATTCCCGGTCAGGGCACATGCCCGGGTTGTGGGCTCGATCAATGACTCTCTCATCACTGATGTTTCTATCTCTCTCTCTCCCTTTTCTTTCCTCTCTCTGAGATCAATAAAGATATATTTTTTAAAAAAAAGAAAGAAATAGCAAGAAGCCTTTAAACAGGAAAACAGAGAGAACATTCTGACAGTGAGAGAGAGTTTAGTAACTAAAAAATGATCAGTTAAGGTTGGAAATTCCCTTCAGTGGAATGCTTAAGTTAGAAGGCATTGTTATCTGTCTCATAGTCTTAAAGGAAATGGCACTGGTCACTCAAAGACTTTTCTAGGCTCTGGAATTTATCCAGTGGCAATGGAAAAACACTTCTCTGTGTTGTTGTTGTTGTTTTTAACCACACAAAAAATGAAATCCTATGATATGAAGAAATATGAGCCAGAGTATATGAGCTCAGAGTTTGCACATAGGTTAAGGACAAAACTGGAGATTAAACCTAAGCCTTTTCCTGCTTCCAGTGTATGCCTTTTGAAGGAAGAGCTAATAAAAAGTGAGCTTTCTCACACAGATTAGGAAGAAAAGCACCCGTTTATAAAAGAACAGCAGTTCAGCTTTCCAACCTTCACATTCAAAACCCTGGAACTGGCATGAACTGTGACTTTTCAAGCAAGAAGTGCTGCTGGTGAAATGCCTTTCTTGACATGGCAGGGGGAACCTTCCATCTTCTTCAGCCCCCTTGCTCTTCAAACCTTACCATGCTGAGGAGCTCAGATCAGGGAATCCCTCCTCAAAGAAGCCTTTCCTCACCATCCCCAACTCCCAGGCAAAGTTACACAGTCTCTGTCTCTCTTCCCATTGCAGCCTGTGCTTACTCCTGTGATTAAAATATCTTGTGATATATATCTTTCACAACTTTTTGTTGTCTGTATCCCTCACTAGAGTGTGTGTTCCTTGAAGGGAGGAGCCATATTTATCTTCAACTATGTATCCTTGGTACCTGGTACATAATAAGTGCTCAATAAATGCATGTTTTGCAGTGTGCTCTGCCCACCTTACAGACAGCTTCCTTCACATGCACTACCCAAGCAGGAAGACTCCTGAAGGGGTCCCTATGGCAGAAATGGTAGATCATCCTACATACCTGATACAGCAATACACCTAAGAGAGGGAAAGACCTTTGGAGATTATGTACTCTAACCCCTCTCCATTACAGGTGTGGATGTTGAGACCCAGAGAGGGAAAGTGATTTATCCAAAGTCACATGGTCAGTCACTGGCAACATTTTTTCTCACTAATCACAAAGATCATCAACCCTTAGAAGTTCTGTCCTTTCAGAGATAGGTGTCCAGAAATGACCACCTTTTGGCAACAATATCTCTAGCAGGTACTAGGAATCTTAAAGGCATTAGAATCAGAGAGACAGTACAACATGATGGGTTAAACAGGGTTGGGGAACATTTTTTCTACCAATGGCCATTTGGATATTTATAACATCAGTCATGGGCCATACAAAATCATCAGCTTAAAAATTAGCCTGCTATATTTGGTCAGACATTTAATTTATATTTGGCCAGACATTTAATTGAATTTATTGAATTTTGAGTCCCCCCTGCGGTTTCCTTGGCAGGGCCAGACCAAATGATTTCTTGGGCCCTATTCAGTCCACAGGCCGGATGTTCCCCATCCCTGGGTTAAGAGAACAATACTGTATTTTATACTTGAAAGTTGCTAAGAGAGTAGATCTAAAATATTCTCACTACACAAAAGGTAAGTATGTGAGGTGATGGATGTGTTATTAAACCTTATTGTGATAATTATTTCACAATATGTACATGTATCAAATCATCATGTTGTATACCACAAACTTATACTTACATAATTGACATTGTTAAATGTCAATTATATTTCAATAAAGCTGGAGGAAAAAAAGAGAGAAAGAATGGGTTCTGTAGTCAGACTAGATCTAAGTTCAAATTCCAGCTCTGCCACCTGGAAACTGTGTGACTTCAAGCAAGTTACTTAATCTCTCTGTACTTTAGTTACCTCATCTTCGAAATGGGAATAGTAGCATTCTATATTACAAGGATGTTTCAAGAAGTAATATTCATAAAGTTTATGGCACATAGAAAGCATCTCAACAAAGATTGATATATTATTAAACAGTAGCCTTTCCCTATGGCTCCTCTTTCACTTTCCACCTATATTCTTCATGCTAATATTTTCCCTCACCTCTTTGTTCTCATAACAAATGGCTGGAAAGTGAAAAGCTGAATAGGGCTCCATTCAAAAGCTGCCTGGTTGGAGTTGTTATCTTTCAATGTTTCATTGGCACCAGGCCAGAGATCAGAAATCTTTGCCAGGCATGTCTTCTTTCCCAGTGCATGTGGCTCCATGCTCTGCCCAACCTGACTTTCCACTCCTCCCATCCCCTATCCTTCATCCTGCCTTTTAGACAGGTGAACACAATAGGTTGTACACATTCTTCTCGAAAACATTGGACTTGTAACTGACAGCTGATTTCATTACATTTGATCATAGTTGAAGAAAGATGCCCTGGAAGACATAGTTTAAAATATGTCACAGGGGAATTTCTTCTCCATTATATTTGTCCCCAGCAGTTCTCATCAATTTCAAATTGTGAATTGCTTCAAATAGCAACACAGAAGTCATTTACCAGTACCAGGCCCTACCATCTTCTGGAAGAGTGGGAGCTTATTAAAAATGTAGATTTGGGGGCCTCACCTGCAGGTATTTGATTCAGTAACTGCAGCCCAGTAATATGTATTTCAAAAGCACCCTAGTAATCTGATGCATCTGATCCTGGTACCAGCATTTAAGAAAAACACCACTGAAAATATTAGGAACATGGGGATCTGGTGGCAAACAAAAATAGTTGAAATCCTGGCTCTGCCATGTATGAGCTGTAGCATTAGCTCCCACTTCTCAATGTGTCATTGCTAATTCCGGGTTTTATTGCCCCTTCAACCACGCATGCCCTTTGGAGAAGTCTACCTTCTTTTTTCTTTTTTTTTCAAATACTAGTGTTTTTATTTATTTTTACTCTTTTTTAAAAATATAT